AAAAAAAAAAAATAAAAAAAAATAAGGCTTTTATTGCTACAAGTAGTTAACTTCCAGCAAAAATTGCTGAGCCATTCCCATGTTCCAATAACCTTTGGTTTTGAATTTTTATTTATAGTATAAATCAAGCTATATAGATAAAGAATTCTCTCAACAAGTGATTTTCATGGTACATTAGAATTTTATTAAAGTTGAATTGAAAGCAGCAATTGTTGGATTTTTAAAGTTACTTTTAACCTTAATAATGACTTGTTTCCTAATTTAAATACATTTCAGGTGTTCTACTTTCCAAAGGACCAGGATTTATCTATTTTATCAACTTGTTATCAGTTTGCAAAAGAAATAGCCATGGCTTGTAGTGCTGCACTGTGCCCTCACCTGAAAACTCTAAAGAGTAATGGAATGAATAAAATTGGACTCAGAGTTTCCATTGACACTGATACGGTGAGGCATGTTTTTGTGATATATTTTTCAAATTAATGTGTTGCGTATTTAAAAAATAAGAAATTTTTTCTTTAACCTTTTATTTTGGGATAAAAGAATGGAGCTAAAATTTGTTGGGCATCAAATGTGTGCTACACACTCCACATATATTGTATCTATTAATCTCCACAACAGGGTCAGCAAACTTTTTTTGTAAAAGGACAGACAGTAAATACTTTAGACATTGTAGGCAGTATGGTTTTTTCACAACCACTCAACTCTGCCATTATAGTGGGAAAGCAGCCATTGACATATATAAACAGGAGTGTGGCTGTGTTCCAGTGAAACTTCGTTTATCCAGCCAGATGTGGCCTACAGGCCATAGTTTGCTGTCGCCTGCTCCATGACTACCCTGCCTGATAGGTAGAGTTTTAAATTTACTTATTCTGAATAGATTCTATATATACATGATTTAAAATCTTAAAAGTATAAATGTGTATGTATAACAGGACCACCTCACTGAACATTTCCAGAGAGCAGCATTCACACTGTATCCTATGTAATTGGTAGACCTTGGAGATACCCACTCCAGGCTACAATGTAAATGGTTCCCAGTAGAGTTGTGTAAGGCAACAGCCCTGGAAATAATCTCTTTCCTACCCTCAACTCCCAACCCCTCAGTTTACCCTCCCTCATCCTCCTTCCCAGCCAAGCAATCAATGTTACTCATTTCTTACATATTCTTTGTGATTTTATGCATGTATAAGCAAATAAGTGTGTTATACTTTTTATCCCCCTCTTTTACACTATTTTTTCCCCATACATCTTTAACTTAATGTATCTTAAAGATATTATGTATTAGTATATATCCTTTTTAACAGTTGCATAGTAGTAGTTGATTATATAAATGTACCATAATTTATTTAAGTAGTCTTTTCTGCGTATTTGGCATATGTTGATTGACATTTTTAGGTTGTCCACAGTATTTTGCTTTTACATAAGTGTGAGTATAATATCCATAAGAAAAATTCCTAGAATTGGCAGGTTTGAGTATGTACTCAAAAGATATTACCATATTATCCTCAATAGAAGTTATGCCAATTTATATTTCCATCCAGCATTTGTAAGAGAGCTCTTTCCCTCACATCCTTATCAAAGAAGTATGTAATATAATTTTTGAATTTTGATAATTTGATAGGTGAAAAATAATATCCAAGTATTATTTAATCTGCTTTTCTCTTAACAATGAGTGATGATCATCTCACATGTAAGAGACATTTGTTTTTCTTTGAACTTTCAGTTCATATCTATTAGGTATATTTATTTTGTAACTGTTTCCAACATCCAATATAGTAGATTTTCAAAGCAGATTCTTCATTAGAATGGTTAATCCAAACATGGGTAAGTTCATACTCTGAGAGTTTGCTTTTCTCCACCTAAGATGTGTTATACTCACAGTTCTTATTGGAAAGAGGAAGTTTTGTTTTCATCTCACTGTTAAAAGTCCCCTTTTCAAGGAAGCACCTGATAGTTACTTATTTGAGTAAGCATTGTTAATATTTTCTTTAGTCAAATGTATTAATATGTAATTTCCACCATCAACATTAAATTCTAATATTAAATATTATTGCAATAGCAAATTTGAAATATTTTTAAGTGTTTTTAAATACCATGGATTTTTAAAATTTAAATAATGTTGGCAGTTATTCAAAGCCTAATCCCTCTAATGTGTTTATGTATTCATTGAGAGGAAACCTAAAGTATGACGTAGTGGCAATTAAATTTTTATGATATCCATGGGAGGGACGATTATAATTTATTTAGCAGACAGATAAATATAGGAGAATATAGAACACTTTTTATAAATAATATATCAAATATTTTATTAACATGCTTAGACTGATATTTTAAAATATTTTAATTATTTTATATTCATATTCTGAGCTAAACAAGATTGCTCATTTTCTAGGGTTGTCTTATCAAGATTTTTTTTTTTCCAGGTTGAATTTCAGGCAGGATCTGAAGGTCAACTTCTGCCTCAGCATTATCTAAATGATCTTGATAGTGCATTGATACCTGTGATCCATGGTGGGACTTCCAACTCTAGTTTACCATTAGAAATAGAACTGGTATTTTTCATTCTAGAAAATCTTTTTTAGTGAAAGAATGTGCTATATTATATACTGCAAACTGATTTGTTAAAACTAACTCTAGCCCTAAAGCTGAAATGCCACAAACACTAAAAGTAAATATGTCTGATGTTTGAAACACATAAGCTTTGCTCTTTAGGCAGAAATGATCTTTTTAAACCATTAGCACAATATTTAAATATCTAGAAATGTAAGAGATCAGTTTTTTAAGCTTTACAATTAAGTACTGAAAAGACAAGGATTTCTTCTATCTTTAAGAAATTTATAGCATTTATTGTGTTATTTAAATGCTAAACCAAAGTATCTGCACTTAGGTATACCTCTTTATGCCAAGAATGATTTTAATGAAGGCCCTTTTCAGATGTAACCTTATGAAGGAAATATCTGTTTTGTCTATATGCTGGTTAGAATACTGGTTTCTAAAGTCTGTCAAAAATGTATTCCAATGGCACAGGCCAGTTTTGAGATCTTAGACTTATAATTCTTTGAATAAAGCCGATAACTTATTTGTATAAATGGAGTGGAGACCTATCTCCATGATTAGATAAACTGTTTGGATTAAAATCAGAATTTTGCCTTTTTTCTTCTCAAATTATTAATAATGTATATAAAACACACATACACATACGTAGTTTTTCCTGATTAAATGGGTATTCTTAAAATAATTATGGGTGCTTCAGGATTTTGTGCTTCTATATTTAAGTATATTGTTTTTATAGCAAGAACATATGATTCTGAATGTGTTTTATAAATCTTTAATAATTTATATATATAAGTAATATTTTTCTATCATAGTGTATTGTTTTTCCTCCTTTTCTTCCAAATTATACCACTTCTAAGAGTGATTGATCGGCCGGGCGTGGTGGCTCACGCCTGTAATCCTAGCTCTCTGGGAGGCCGAGGCTGGCGGATCGTTTGAGCTCAGGAGTTCAAAACCAGCCTGAGCAAGAGCGAGACCCCGTCTCTACTAAAAATAGAAAGAAATTAATTGGACAACTAAAAATATATAGAAAAAATAGCCGGGCATGGTGGTGCATGCCTGTAGTCCCAGCTACTCGGGAGGCTGAGGCAGGAGGGTCGCCTGAGCCCAGGAGTTTGAGGTTGCTGTGAGCTAGGCTGACGCCACAGCACTTACTCTAGCCCAGGCAAAAGAGTGAGACTCTGTCTCAAAAAAAGAAAAAAAAAAAGAGTGATTGAGCATGCCAGATGACCTTGAAGTAGTCATTATGTAGCAATAAATGAAGCCTGAAATAGGTTTTTTTACTTCCACTTTAATCCTTAGAAATTTCATGGCAAATCTGCATATTTTCATTGACACCAATGTATTAAGAGTAAATTTTAATGAACTAATTACTTTTTCATATTTTAAATTCTTTATATGGTATTTTTTTATAACAGTATATTAACATAAGTTAAATTCTATGTATTTGAAATTGTTACAGAGCTTTCCTCTTCAACTTCAAACAGTAAAAAAAAAAAAAGTAAAGGGCATATTTTAGTCCCTGTCATTTAAGTTATATAAAATTTCATCATTATTTTAATACTTTTAAAATTCTTATGTGAAATATATGTTTTTGTATCAAAAACCACTCATAGCTGAAGAAAAAGAAACAACACTAAATAGCCCTATTTTAAGAAAAATATTTATGAAGCCTTTGAACTTGAAGATCAAGTAAATGTCATAACTCAGGACCTGAAGTCTCAAGCTAGGAGAGACTGAGAACTTTAAAAGTTTGAGCATATGGTTCCGACTGAATCACATCTGTAGTACTAGGCAAAGACACAGTTTAGAGGAGAATATCAGCCTCTGGAAATAGCTACTCTATCTATGAACAATGTAAAATGTTGCAGATATTAAATAAAATAACAATGTGTAATAACTTGTGAAGTTTGTTGAAATGGTGTGAGATGAAAACAATTGCATATCCAATCCAATTTGTTTTCTTTATATAGTGCGTGTATTTTGTAGTGTAAGTAGGGGCACAGTCTGTGAATGCTGAACTTACTTTAAAATAACCAAATGGTGGAGGGCTCTTCCTTCATGGCATAGCTTAGGATTTGTTTTCACAATGTCTCTGCATTCAGTAAAAATTAGAATTATGTGCCTACAGTTTGGAGGCACATTTTAAAGTATTCCATGTCAATGTATGTTTTTAAATTCATTTGTTACTCATTTGGTCATGTTCTTCACATTGTTACTTAATTTGAAATTTTGCTTTTTTAAGGGTGAAGAAATAGAATGGTTCTTTGTACTCAGTCTACAATAATCTATTTTTGGTCTTATGCCTTTGATTGAATACTATTCTTTTTCTCTGAATTTCAAAATATAAAGTAAAATCTAAACTATTTGTTTTATGCAGCTATCCAACAAACTGTGTGTGTGTGTTTGTATACTTGCTATGCTGAGAATCCTTTGTTAGATTTCTGAGTAAAAGTTTCTAAAAATGATTGTTCTGACAAAATTAGACATAGTTCTTGTCAACATTTATGGATTCCATGCTACAAGTAGTATGTGCTAAGTGCACAGAATGCCAAGAGAAAGAGGAGGATTTAGCCATGTAGGAATATGGCCAGGCATGGTGGCTCATGCCTGTAATCCTAGCACTCTGGGAGGCCGAGGCGGGCGGATTGTTTGAGCTCAGGAGTTTGAGACCAGCCTGAGCAAGAGCGAGACCCCGTCTCTACTAAAAATAGAAATTAGCTGGACAACTAAAAATATATATAGGAAAAATTAGCCGGGCATGGTGGCGCATGCCTGTAGTCCCAGCTACTTGGGAGGCTGAGGCAGTAGGATTGCTTGAGCCAAGGAGTTCAAGGTTGCTGTGAGCTAGGCTGATGCCACGGCACTCTAGCCCGGGCAACAGAGTGAGACTCTGTCTCAAAAAAAAAAAAAAAAAAAAAAAAAAAAAAAAATTTTTAAAAAAAAAAGGAATTCCCAGTCCAAAAGTAAAAAGAAAAAGAGAAGTTAAGTTAGCATGGGCCCTTATTGTGACATCCTTATGGAGTGAGGGAGATAGAAATCAAAGTTTAGGTCCCACATAAGGTGGTAAGTCTAACATGGCACCCTCCCCACAATACGCAGAAACCCCCAGCCTAATAGTTTCACCTTTAGGATGACAATGAACCAGAAGTGGAAGAAGCAATGTAAAATAATAGGCAAATTTAGAATTGCCTAAATAATCCAAAGAATCTTAAGCATTGAACTTGCTTTAAGGTATTCCCAACATTGGTGATGCTTCCATGAAAAATAAAACATAAATCCTTCCCATTAGAAAAGTGATTTCATTGTAAGCCTCAAATTACTTTCCAAACAAAATGTCTACTAATGCACAGTAAAAAATAAGTAGACACATAAGGAAACTAGATTCCAGAGTCAAGAATTAGTTGAAACAATGAAAAAAAACTCATGTAGACTTAGGTATTAGGTTTATGTTTTCTGTGTTTACAGAAATAAAGTCAGATGTGAAGGTACCTACAGAAAATGGGAAACTATAAGAAGTGATGGAGCCAATTTGGAAAAGAAATGAACACAAACATTGCAAGAAAATATAAAAACTGAACTTTAAAACTCAGTAAATAGGCTTCATGGCAGAGTAGAACACAGCCAATGAGGAGAGTTTATAAACTGGAAGATAACTCAGGAGAAATTTTCCAGAGTGCAGCATGGAAAAACAGATGGAAAAAACAGAAGACCTATAGAAGAAACAGTGAGAAATTCCAGCATGTGCTTAATTAGTTGCCAAAGGAGAGGCAGGAATAGGACAAAGCAATTATTTTTAGATGTAATGCAGAATTTTAAAAACTGATGAAAGACATAATGCCACAGATTCTAGAAGCCAGACAAATCGCAAACAGAATAAATGAAATCCTCACATAGACACTTAACAGTAAAACTGGAACTGCTAGCCAACACAGAGAGCAAATGAGTTCAAGGAACAATCTGCTCTCTCTAGTCAGAGAGCCAGAAGAGGGTTTGGAGGATATGGGACAGAAGCCTTTTGAATTTACTTGCATTATTCCAGGAGAGCCTCAGAAAAGAAGCAGTACCCCTCCCTCCCTACCAGCAGCACCATGTAAAACAAGTTGGAGCCTTCTGGACTTCCACTGCCCTACATCAGTCTAGCAAGAGTAAAGAAGTAGCACCCCTCTCTCGCCCCACTGGTTCAGTGGTGGCAGACACTGCAGGGCAGAACACTGGCAATGGTGTGGGAGGCAAATGCCCTGACTTTTTAGTAATAACACAAAGAATGGGGGGAGCTAGAAATCAGAGGGTATAGGTAAGATCACAAATAGGAGGGAACTGAAGAAAAAAGCCATTAAATCTGGGTATAAAATCCTGAAACTGACCAGAAGCAGCTGAGCAAATGTTCTGAACACTGAACTACAGTGTAAATCACTGTCTGATGGTACATCACTGGGGCAGCCTAGAACAGCTCCACAAAGGCAGTGAAAATTAAATTAACATTGGAACCACAGCCCACTGAAAAGTGGCCAGGATGTGTGGTCTGAAACTAACTGGATTGATGGTCTGCTAAAACAAAACAAAAACAGTCTTATGAATATTTAAACAGGACAGAGAGTCTCATAATATTCAAAATATCCAGGAAAACAATCCAAAGTTACCTGACATACAAAGAACTAGTGAAACCTAAACAATTCTCAGGGAAATAACAATGAACAGAAGCTAATTTTGAGGTTATCCAAATGTCAGAATTGACCAGGAAAAGACTTAAAACCAGTTATTTTAATCATGTTCCACAAAGTAAGGGTAAACACTGTTGAAAAAAGTGGAAAGCTAAAAGTCCTCAGCATAGACGCTATAAAAAGAATCAAATGGAAATTTTAGAACTGGAAATACAATAATGAGAATTTGCTGGAGGGTCTCGCTCAACAATAGGATGGAGATGGCCAAGGAAGAGTCAGTGAATTTGAAGATACATCAGCAGAAATTATCCAGTCTAAATTAACAAACAGAAAAAAGTGGAAAAAAATTATCTTTGGGGATCTGTGGGACAATATCAAAAAGTCTAATATTCATGTTTTGGAGCCCAGAAAGAAGAAGAAAAAGATCGGAAGAAAAAAAATATGAAGAAATAATTGCTTAAACTTTCCAAACATTTGGTGAAAGACAAAGATTTACATACATCTACAGAAAATCTATTTAAAGCAGGTCTACTGACACAGCAAACCCCAAAAAGGAAAAAATGAAAACCACACCCAGGCACATAATGATTAATCAAGTTGATGAAACCAAGCATAAAGAGAAGATTTTGAAAGCCACCAGAGGAAAATAACACTTTGCATATAGGAGAACAAAGATATGAATGATGGCAGATTTCTCGCAAAAAAACATGGAGGCCAGAGACAGAGGAACAACATTTATAAAGTCCTTAAAAAAAAAAACAAAAAATTGTCAACACAGAATCTATTATCCAGCAAATATATCCTTCAGGGATAAAA